AATGCATTTTTGCTTTATATGGTCCCCCAAAATTCTTAAAATTTAAAATATGTTTAAAAGATACAGATAAATAGAATGGCAGAACTTCCATGAGAGGCTGAGGGTCGCATGTCACCTTGACGTGTGGCAGTCATACTTGTGAAGCAAGTCTGTCAATTCATACTTCTCAAAATGGCACAAATGACTGCTTTGAAAGAATTTATTCTCAATGTAGAAGTACGGACTCTTGCTTAGAGTATGATCTTTGAACGTGTTAGATGTCCCTCAGTGACCTGAAATTGGAAAACTCCAGAGAAGCTATAATAACTATAAACCTAGAAAAGAACACTAAAATTGAAAACTGATTCAGAAAATAAAAAGCTAAAAATACGATCATTCAAAAGCTGAAAATAAAAAACAAAAAACTAAGAAACATGACAGCCATAAAACCTGATAATCCTAGGAAAAATTGGAAGAAGTCCTAAAAGCTGAAAATAACTGTTTATGAAGATTCCACATCATCCAAATGCAGGGCGCAAAAATTACCCGTAGCTTCCCCGAACGGGTTGACTCAGATGTGTCACGTGCTGGACGAACGCTGGAAGAAGCAAGGAAGTTGGTTGAACAGAGTTTCGGAAATTATGTGGGGAGCAATGTCATGGTTGCAGCAAAAGATGAGCTTGCTAGAATACAGAACGAGATACAGATGCTAGCTTCAGAAATTACCGATGAGGCCATTGATAAGAAGAGCCGGAAACAGTTGTCAAAATCAGCTTACCAGGAGATTGCTGATCTGCAGGAAGAATTAAAGGTACCTTACTCACGCACTTCCCCCCCTGAAGATTGCAGCGTGATCACTATTATTTAGAAACATGTAGTTGCATATAGTTTTGTTACATTACTATGGTTTATCTTCTCAGGGAGAAAAACTTATTCGGGCTGAACTTCGGAAAAGGATGGAACTTGAGAGAATTAATTCCTTGAAGCCATTACTTAAGGAGCTTGGAAGAGGGCATCTAGCTTTTATATGCCTGCAGCATACAAATTCAGATGGTAATCTGATTCAAATCCCGGCTGTTTATTTGGGGGAGGTTGACTCTTTAAACACAATAAAAGTAAAGAAAATGGTAAGGTTGTCTTGGTCAATTCTTCCTTACACTATAATTTGGGGTTGAATCATGTGTACATTTTAACCTGCACATGGAATTGCACCGAAGTTGGTGCATCGCTGTATAGTTCTCCACTGTTAGAGAAAAAAGCATTATGTTGTTGAATATGCTGGTTGCCAACTGAACTCCTACTTCTCTCTGTTGTTAAGGTCTCTTTCCTGATATGTTCTGACCTCAATTTACAGGTTAGCGAATCTGATTCTTTCGCACTTAATAAGGATATGAAGCCTGAACATGCCACCGAACCTTCTTACCATGTGGCTCTTAGTTCAGATAATTCTTGGTACCTTTTCACAGAGAAGTGGATCAGAACAATCTATAAAACAGGGTTCCCCAATGTTGCCTTGGCTTTAGGTGATGCTGTGCCTAGTGAACTAATGACAGTTCTCCTTGATAAAGGAGAGATGCAATGGGAAAAGGTTGTGGATTCAGAACTTGGTGGCCTTTGGAGCATGGAAGGATCTCTTGAGACATGGTCTTGGAGTCTAAATGTGCCAGTCTTGAGTAGTCTTTCTCAAGATGATGAGGTAATCCCAATAACTAATACTTTTTCTTCTGTTGGATTTCTTGGCATGTGACCTTTTTGGTAATGTTAAAGATACACACCCCTCACGACTTTGGTGATGTACGATATGTTAAGAACTAATAATAATCATGCTTCAAAGTTCAAACAGTGACTATATTGGTGCATATATTCCAGATGGTCAATTAAGTGACCGTTATCTTTGCAAGGTCCAAGACTTTATCTTGAAACAGTTATATGACCTAATCGTCACCTGATCTTTGGCTCCACCTAATTACATACGTGAGAATATCTGTAGATATACTAAAGTATATTTTTTTCAGAAGTACTCTTTAAGTTTTTTCATAGTTATTAATTCTCTTTTCTCCTAATTTTCCCCAGAAAAACTGTAGTGCCCTTGTCACCGGTTTGTTTATAGTATAAAAAGTTAAACCAAATCAATAAGTATAATCTTGAGCTAGCTGGTTTTATTAATCTTAATGTTAAAAAAATATATTGCTCAACTTGAAGCTCTTGCCCCATGCCCTTTCCTCCATGTCATGCTCCTCCCTCTTGTCTCTGTGTTTATCACTAAGCATCTAGTAAGTGGCATTCATTCATTTTTCTATAAATTTCCCTTCTTAGTTCCCATTAGCTTACTTCAATATCTGCACATGGGTTCCACATAGACACACAAATTTAGCTGACAGTGCTGAGTTTTGGAAGCTCCAACTCCAAGTGGGATTTGAGTAGCTCACTGGATTTTTTAACTTTGTAGGTTAAACTTATATGAGTTAATGAGTTCTTATTGTAACTTCAGTGTCTTTATTCAAAACACTTAACTCTTTGTTTCCCCCCTATTAGGTTGTGGAATTATCTGAAACATACCGTACTGCCATAGAACTCTACAAAGACCAAAGAAACAAAGTTGCACGTCTGAAGAAAAAGATCGCACGGACAGAAGGCTTCAAAGAATATAAAAAGATTCTAGATGTTGCTAAGTTTACTGAAGAGAAGATACGGAGGTTAAATGTTAGGTCAAGGCGTCTGGCTACTCGTATAGAGCAGATTGAGCCATCTGGCTGGAAGGAGTTTCTGCAGGTTAGTACCAAACTCATGTGTACCTGCAATTCCTGCCATGAAATATTCATTGTTGTTTTTCTTATAACGGATATGTAAAGCTGAAACTGTTTATCAAATGTTAGGTAACATCAGTATACTTTTCATGTTTGGAAAGAATATCCTTTCCATTTTCTATTAATTCAGTTTTTCAGTTTTTTTCTATCTCACACAGTGAACTGGTATTTGTCGTCTCACAAGCATGAAAGTAACTGTAACACCCAAGTTGCCATCGCTTTTGCTTGACTGCTCTTACTGGAAAATCCTGATTTCATATTTCTGCCAAATTCTGGTTTACTCAAGCAGCTCTACAATTGCCCACGTCATAACAAAAGAATATATATGTTTGCAACCTGGAAAGTCAGGTCTCTATGCCAATCTAATCATAGTTTATTTCAGATCAGTAACGTGATACATGAAATAAGGGCACTGGATATCAATTCCCACATTATATTTCCCCTTGGTGAAACTGCTGCAGCAATACGAGGAGAGAATGAACTCTGGTTGGCAGCAGTTCTTCGGAATAAAATTCTCTTGGACTTGAAACCTGCACAGCTTGCTGCCGTATGTGGAAGTCTGGTTTCTGAAAATGTTCGGTCCTGGAAAAATAATAGGTATGCATAGTGAATTTCTATTATATACTATCTTTTGGTTAATTCTGTTGTTTAGTAAGTGGCAAGGCCAGATTTGCTCTAAAGTGTTTTAACCATCATATTTCTATTCTTGCAGCTATGTATATGAAGCTTCCACCACTGTTATGAATGTAATCACCTTTCTGGAAGAACAGAGGATCTCGCTTCTAGAACTCCAGGAAAAGCATGGGGTCCAGGTAAATCTTATGGTTTTATTTGGGGTTAAATGGAAATATTATAGATTATGCTTAAGTTGCCCGAGATTTTATGCTCGTGGTTTTTGTAGATTCCTTGCTGCTTGGACAGTCAATTTGCTGGCATGGTTGAAGCCTGGGCTTCTGGTTTAACGTGGAGAGAGATTATGATGGATTGTGCTATGGATGAAGGTGACTTGGCTCGTCTTTTGCGACGAACGATTGATCTTTTAGCACAGGTATTCATCCTTAGCTCTTATATGACCTGTGGATTTCTATATCAAATACGAAAATAAAAGGAAAAAGAGAATTTAGGAAGCTTCACGTTACAGAAATCAGTCGAAATTTTGTTCCTTCAGTGCTGATAGTTGAGCTGATGAGATTTCATTTCCGAATGCAATCGTTCATTTTAACATTGTATCGTTTTTTAAATAATTTCCAATTGCCCAACTTTTCGTCTCATGTATAGTTAAGAAAATTGGATGGATATTATTGCAGAAGGCAACACAAGTTGGAGTAGTACAGTTAGTTAAAAGAAATTCTTTGAATGTTTTACATTTTGACTATTGTAGACTTCTTTCAGTTAACTACTCAAAATCTTAGATCTGTTTTACGTCTTTAAAAATAAAAGATTCCCCTGTATTGCCAAAAAACAAAAACTAAACAATAGCTGAAGTCATGTTTGAAGAGATATTGAAAGTTAAAGAGTATTCAATTGCAGAGAAAATATGAAACTATAATATACAACTAATTTGCAAATATTGACTGCAGGTACCTAAATTACCAGATATTGACCCGCTGCTTAAAAGCAGTGCTGTGAAAGCATCCAGCGTCATGGATCGCCCGCCCATAAGTGAGTTGATAGGATGAAAAGTGGACCTAACCAAATTCATTGGTTTTCACACTCATAATTCTTTTGTATCAGAATTAACAGACAATCGAATGATAAATTAATGTGTATATGCATTTGTGTAATTTATCATATTTTGAAGAGCCCATGTAGAGGTGGCCAGTCAACGGGCCATGGCCCGGCCCGCCGGGTCGACGGGTCTCAAAATCTAGGCCCGTGCCCGGCCCGCTTATATCTAAGGGCCGGTTCATTGAACCGACCCGGCCCGCTGAACCGCCGGTTAGAAAAAAAAAAAGTTGTAACCAATGCCGGCGGTCGGCCGTGACCCAACCCGGACCGGACCGGACCGCCGGGACCAATTTTTTTTTTTTTTTTGAACCTGGACCGAACCGTGGCCCTTGCGGTTCGGTCCAACGGACCGGCCCTTATGTGGCCGGTTACGGGCCAGTTCTGGCTGGTTTGGTACAGGTTTCCGGTCCGGGTTCGGCCCGCGGCCATGTCTAAGCCCATGCATAGAGAAATGTCAGATTCTGCAACACAATTTAAAAGCAAACGAACAAACACAGTCTTATTGAACTTTGTTGGAAAATTTAATCAGTTTTTGACTCCGTCATGCAATTGAATTCTTGGTTAAAATCGATCTATTGACTTTATGTTCCACATAATTATAGATTTTATATATCAGTGTTGACGTTGTGTTAATAACTAGCTATTTTTAGTACGTTATATTATGAGTAGGTGTGTATTTTCTTCGATAATCCAATACATTGATTAATAATAATAATAATAATAATAATAATAATAATAATAATAATAATAATAATAATAATAATAATAATATAAAAAAATAATTGGCTGTGATAAGGGAAAAAATATTTTTATTAGGCACGTGTCGGTAGAATAAAGACACGTGTGTCCATTATAAGGTCGCAATTGAACAGATCGAGCAAGCTCAAATTGACGTAATAATAATAATAATAATAATAATAATATAAAAAAGTAATTGGCTGTGATAAGGGAAAAAATATTTTTATTAGGCACGTGTCGGTAGAATAAAGACACGTGTGTTTCAAGGACCGTTATTGTTCAAGATCAAGGTTAAGATCTGATGGGTCTCATCTGGAGTAAATCGGTTGAAATGAGCTCCGATATGTTTGAACCGTCTCTAGACCGCCGTGAATACATACAAGAACCCATCGTCGAGGGGGTTGCTGGCGAAGGGCCTCCGACGCTCAAGTCAGTAAACAGAAGAGAGGAAGATGGAAGCTCTGTAATCTAGAGCTGTAAGGAATGTAGAAGTGTGTAGAATGTGGGAGAGAGGGTTAGGGTTATACCTCAGTCCCATTTTATAGGAGAAATACCTGCTCGAAAATATCTGCCCTGACTGCCCGAATTGCCCACGGTCAGCCTGCCCGTACTGCCCGAGATTTGATCTTATTTGTATCTTAATCACATCTGAGTCATCATCAGATTTCTTCTTATCCATTTACTGCCTCTAGATCATGCTCTTGTAGTCACAGAGACCTCTAGTCACAGAGACCTCTAGTAGCGGAGACCTCTAGTAGTGGAGATCTCTAGTAGCAGAGACCTCAAGTCACAGAGACCTCTAGTAGCAGAGACCTCTAGTCACAGATGAGCTCTAGCTCCTCTTGTCCAGTCGAGACGAGATGACCTCTAGCAGGTCGAGACGAGATGACCTCTAGCAGGTCGAGATGAGTGACCTCTAGCAGGTTGAGATGACCTCTACTTATCTCCTTAGAGCAGCTCAACTTCCTCATACTTAGCCACTGAGGGTACCTCTACTTCCCCATACTTAGTCGTGGGGATCTTCTCATACGTAGTCACAGAGAGCTCCTCTACTACCCCATACTTAGTCGTGGGGACCTTCTCATACTTAGTCCAAGAGAGCTCCTCTATTTCCCCATACTTAGTCCCAGAGGGCTCCCATAGTTCCCCATACTTAGTCGTGGGGACCCTCTCATACTTAGTTACAGAGAGCACCTTATACTTAGTCGTGGGGACCTTCTCATACTTAGTCCAGAGAGCACCTTATACTTAGTCGTGGAGACCTTCACATACTTAGTCCCATAGAGCACTTTATACTTAGTCACCGAGACCTCCAAGTCTCATTTAGACCTCTTCAGGTTGTTCTTCTTCGGTTTCGCTTGGACCTCTCATACTTGACTCCGGTTCACAAGTATGGCTATATCAAGATCCAACCTCAGTTTCAGGCTTAACGTTCTGAGATAAAATGACACTCCGTGTCTATTTTAAATAAGGAAAAAGCTATTTGTACAACTTTTTTGTACAACATTCAATGACAACATGATATGGCATGATGTGGGTGGTTGAGATGCAAATAAATGTATGGTTAAGATTTGAGCTAATGATACTTTTAGCTAAGTTGTCAACCAATGTTGTAAACTTTGTACATGTAGCATTGTCCTTTAAATAATTTATGACTCATTTATTATAACTAATTCTTAATTCCACTTTTATCCGATTTTGTTTTTTGTTTTTAAATAATTTCTGACTCGTTTATCATAGTTGATTCTTAATTNAAGTCATTTTTAGATGGTGTGAAATTTCGTATATATATATATATATTTTTTAAAAATACCATCAAATCTAAAAAAGTCTTAGGAAATCATAGTTTCAAATAAGTTAAATACCTAAAAATTTTGTAAATTTTTCAAAATCCAAAATGAATACCTCACGACTTTTAAAAATCTATATTAAATACAACATGATTTATAAAATCACAAAAGTCATTAAAAATTTTTAGAAATCACAACTAAATACACCCCTTAGAGTCGTGAGTAAGGGTTCCAAAATTGAAAGTTCGTGAATCAATCATAATGACTTCTAATACAACCATGGCGAGGAAATCCGTGAGCAATCTGAAACTGGCGATCTTTATTATTTTTTAAAACAATGCATGTATATTGGATAACATCCCTCGATTACTGAAATATATTTGAAGGTGTTACATATTTCTGTTTCAATTTTGAATAGTGAGTATTTGGATTTCATGCTTCGTATTGAGGTTTGGATAAAAGTTAATACATATTTGTATTAACAATGCTAGGTTCAGAAATAACCATAATTAAATTAGATATTCTCCATAATAGCACCCACAATGTTTTGGGTCTCTTAACAAAAAATCATATGCCATGTAAGAAATAGACATAGTTTATTAAAAAAGTGTTTCACAATGCAATTGAAAGTAGACCTAGTCTAGCTTGTGACAATAAAAAAAGGAGACAAAACCTACTCTTGGGTTTATTTTGGACCCAAGTGTGAATCTTACAATAATAATAATTTACTATTATTATATTTTTATTGGTTGTTAGGTATTCTAGACCTAATATTTTTTATTTTTTTGCATTGGAGATTTTAAATTTTTTAGCTTGGGTTTATACATATCATTATAGACTTAAGTTTATTTATTTGCCATATAAACAAAAAGAGACCTAAAGCGTTGTGGGTGCTCTAAAATTCTCAAATATAACTTCACTCTTCATGTCTCAAACCATAATTGAGTCTCTTCAATGAATCTCTATATTTCTCCCATTTCCCTAATGTGAAGGAAAATCTGCTCGACAATTGAGTATGAAATTCTTAACAAAAAATTTTTCTCCAATTCATTCATTGTTTTACTTTTTTGGGAAAAAAAAAATATTCGCATTTGGACGATATCATTTATTTCATTGGAGAAATTAAGGTCCTATATGACAATCATGCAACATATCTCAACATTTTGAATATTGTTGATAAAATTCAAGAATGAAAAATACTACCAATGTTCTTTTCATTATCGACTTTTGCACTTATTTTTCTCATAGTTATATCCAAAATGTATTGGTTTCTATTTTTATTTTATATTTAATTAATTTTTGTTTTTTTTAACAAATTGTAAATATCTACATCACCTATTATTATTATTTTTTTTTTTTTNTTTATGGTTTATGTTTTGGATTTTGGAGTTTTAAATTTTGTTTTACTTTGAGACATGTCCATTTATTAATAAAATTTTGGAGCATTCAATTTCTTGCATCGAGTAAGTTTTCCAACGTAAACGTCTATTTTTGGCAAGTGGTTTAAAGATGTGATTTGCAGTGGTTGCAACACATTAAATTATCTTCACGATAGAGATTTCATTTTAATTTTTTTATTTCCATTATAAATCGGGCCATAAAATTATACCAGTACTTACCCGTGTGATGTACGAGACAAAGATATTAAATGAGTTATTTTCGCAAGCTCGGTCCATTTAAGTCTAAAAAATAGTAGGGTTATCATCTATTTTCCACTTCTTGTAATCAGCGTAGCCAGAACTTTAAATATGAGCATGTTAGGGCTCACTTGTAATATAATTAATATATTATCTCACTAACACATTTATACTAATATAAATTTTATTTAAGTATATATATTTATTCCTTGATATAAAAAAAAAATAAACAGTTTTACTTATTCTTGTTGATCATTTAATACTTAATTATTATTTTATTATAAACTTTGTTATCATATATTGTCATTATTATTTATAAAAGTTATAGAAGTTGTACGTCTTCTTTTTCTTTTTTATTTTATGTAATAAAAATATTTAATGCACGTTAGTATTATTTATTTATGTAATCAATTTAAATATGTAAATAAATTTAAAATTAAATACTGTATAAATATTTTACAAAATACCCACACATGTTTTTTTATTTTAATTTTGTATACTAATTAAACAATTTTGATTTATCAAATGCCAAAAACTCAACCACTTCTATAATCAATATTTTTTTAACTTGTATTATAATGATTTATAACTTATTTAGCATACTCTGCAATGAAAATATATTTTTACAAGAAATTCAATATAGAAGGAAATCAAAATAAAAAAACGATAAAAAATTAATCATGGTTGCCAATAATATACAAATAAATTCTAAAAAACAATTAATATATTCAATTTTAGTTTTTTACCATTAGTAAAACGATTTAATGTGTAAGGTCATTGTCTCTTAAATACTAAAGTATATTAATTTGAGGAATAATTTATTTTGTATATTTAAGAAATAAAGCTTTTGAAAAAATTATATTGACACAAATGAATCTAAAGAACAATTAATATATTCAATTTTAGTTTTTGACCATTATTAAAACGATTTAATGTATATGGTTATTGTCTCTTAAATAGTAAAGTATATTAATTTGATGAATAATTTATTTTGTATATATAACAAAATAAAGCTTTTGAAAAAATTATATTGACACAGATGAATTCACCAACTTGATTTCATCTGATTAATTGGAAGAAAAAACTCTACCTAACTTGTTGCAATTTCTATAAATATTTTTGGATAAAAAGAGAATATTTTTTTTAAAAAAATTTATATTATGGTTAGAACTTAAAATATGTTGCAGTACTTATCTTCACCAAAATATTAACAATATGAATCATGAAAAATCAATCTTGCAATTTATTATAATGGATATCAATCAAATTATTGAAGATATTAATAAAATTATTTAAGAAAATAATATTTTATATCATATCTCATTTGATCTTATTTGAAAACGTATATATAGAAGTAATTAATGCTTAAGTGCAAAA